CACTCTTTTTAAGACGATGAATAAGGGAGTTGAGAAACCCTACACCAACTATGCGACTAATCCGAGATAATATACGTTGCTCTTGGCTTGCTATAGTTACCGTACAGAAGAAAACTACTCTCGGATAGGGGTGAAGGGCTAAGAATCGACTTTGAGAAAGCTTTTAAATGTACACACAGCCCCCGCGAGAGCATTCATGTCTCCCATTCCACACTCCAAAAACTGCCTTAGTTTGGTGAGCGTGTGAGCGTGAACGGTGTCTAACGCCTAACGGTGTCCGCAGCCAGCAAGATGCGTTTGTGAGGCCCGGCTGGGCTAGAGCCCTCCTCCCTGCTGCCCGAGGACCCACCGCGCCTGGCAGGCCCGCGCCCTGGATCCACCTACCCCTCCCTGTGTGGAGGCGGTGCCTTCCGCAGGCTCCTTGCTCCGCTGCCCAGACCACGAGCAACCACGTTCCACCCCACCACTCACGCCTCAAAGCGAAGAGGTGGGCACCTTAGGCGCGCGTCCTGTATTATTCTGCCCCGGCTCTCCTGTCTCAGCCACTTTGCCCCCGGCGTCCCCGATAAGCAGAGGATCCACCCCGGGAGGGTGCAAGCTGTGCGCCTCCAACGGGCTCAGGGAGCGGCGGCGAGGATGCTAGGGGACCACAGTGGTCAGAATGACCAGTCCAGCTCAATTCCCGGGAAGGATACCCGCTCTTCCCCACCCCCCGGCTCATTTCTTTCTCCTCGCCCTCTCTTTTGCTTCCTTTGGTCCCGCTCCTCCCCAGCCTAGCAGCGGGTGCTAGCGTTCCCTCGCTCGCCACTTCGCAAGGAACTTTGGCCGGCTCCCCTTCGCCACCCGGAGAGGGATGTTAATGAGGGAGCGTGGCCCCGCGCTGCGAGCCAGCGGGCTCCTGATCTGCGATTGGCTACGACGAGGCGGAAGGATGACGTTATGTAAATGAAGGGGCGTGGCACAAAGGCGGGGCCCCGCCTCCTCCCTTTGGGGTTAGTGTGCCTGTGTTTAGCTCAGGGGAGAGTCAAACTGGATTCCATAGGGAAAGCCTGCAAATCACTTCTATTTTAGCAAGGAGAAAACAGAATCTCCATCCCGCAGGGTCCACCCCTCTCTCTTTCTCCCTTTCCTTTCTCTCTCT